TTACAGGATCCGGCCATCTGCTGGACTACCCCTCACAAAAAATGATTGGTGGGCCTCCTTGGATAAGCGGACTCATAAGCAATCTATAGTTTTGGACCTGGCCTGGAATCTTAGAATTAGAGTCCGGAGTTCTGAGGTTTGCAAGTCCGAATACTTGAGCCTCTGGAAGCTTGGCTTTTAAATGCTAGAATACTTGAGCCTCTGGAAGCTTGGCTTTTAAATGCTAAGCATTTAAAATACAAAGGTTCTAGGCTTCTGCTGTTTTAGGCGGTCGCGGATTTGAAGGATAATTGAGGACCCCCAGAACATTCGTATTATTGAGGACCTGGGCAGCTGCTGGACTTGGTAGGCCTCCTTGGATAAGCGGGTCTCATTAGAAATCTATAGTTTTGGACCTGGCCTGGAACCTTAAAATCCGGAGTTCTGAGGTCCTAAAAATCTTGAGGTTTGAGGTTCTGGAAGCTTTGGGCAAGGGGTTCTAGTCTAAGTAACAAACGGCAGCTTGGATTAGGATCCTAAACTAAATACTTACTGCCTGCCATGGTTTTCAAAGCGAATCAAGTGTATTTGTTCTATTGAGTATTCTCAGAAGAATTTTTTTTTGACGGCGCAACTTCGCACAATCAAGGACCCCCAAACGAACCTAGGGGGTGCTGAATAATTTCGGCGAAACTTCGCAAAATTGAGAACCCCCACACTAATCGGGATCAAACACTAGCCAACTTGTTCATGATGGCATGTACTGGAGCAGCCCAGAGGCTGTAGTTGTGATGAGCGTGGGGAGATTTCTTCCAAGGAACACCTAAAACGCCCACCGCTAAACTCCATAAGCATCACCTCTCCAAGGTGTATGGTGTCATGGTCACCCCAGAAAAAGGGATATTGGCTACCCAAGTCCCAGAATAAGGACCCTTTGCCATCACATGACTCTCATAGGGTGTTTGTTGTAGAGATTGGGGTTTTTCAACTTTTTTAATTTTCAAAATATTTCAAACCCTACAAAGGGCCCAGGAATGTTACACGTCCGAGCGGCATACGAACGCGGGAAGAAGGTGTCAATGTCCACTTGCTCTTCGCAAGCCAGCCTGCCGCACATAAGGGCTTCAAAGGGTTTGGGGTTTAGGGCTTGTGTTTACCATGTGGGGTTTGGGGAGTTGGGATGTAGATTGGCTTTCGGGGCAGATGAGGGAGGCTGCTGCAGGCTTCCACCTTCCATCGTATACTTCTATGTCCTATCCCGCGTAAGCTGCCCAAACAGTAAATCCCAAACCCTAAACCCCAACCCCTTCAATCACAAACTTGGGCGTTGTCCATGGCAGAGGGTTCTTGGTTGCTCTGTAACTGCCCAGGAAAATCCAACTTCAAGCTCTCTGAACATGAAAATGAGGCACCCCAACATGTTAACGTGCTAGAGATGTAGAGAAGTCACACCAACGGTTGACGCAGCTACTGGCGCTGCGGGAAATGATCTTTGAGCTTTCCAAATCGCAGCCCAAAAGGGGCTCTGCAGGAACTGCTGTCCTTTTCGGAAGGGAGCTATGCTCCGACACCTCAAGGGACTTGCTTAACAGGGTCAAAGCCCGCATCATCAACCTTTACTTCCAGTATGTCCCTCCCAGTTCCAAGGTGTAAAATTACGAAGAACAATATGTTCGGAAAGCCTAGGTAGCTCAGTCCAACCGAGTGGCTGCAGGCAAAGCATTTTTGCTTAACTTCTAGACATCCCTTAGAAGGGTCTTGGCTTGCTAGGCATGCACACGCAGGTTGGTGGGCTCTGCATCTGTGAGCCCCATTTGCTCTTGTCGCAGTACGGCCACGTGTTCGTGTGCAGCAATTTTCGATTCCAAATAAAAGCCCCGTAAATCCTAAACTGCTAACTAAAACCTAAAACTCAAAATGGAACGCTAGATCCATCCAATTCACTTAACTGAAGCCCTGAACCCCAAACCCAAAAAATTTGAAGCTTCCCAAAACCTCTGGCAAGGCCTTCGAAGGTTGCCCGTTAGGCAAACCTTCGTCGTAAGTTCTCCTGGCGGCAAAAATGCGGCCACCAATAAGATCCCTCAACAAACCAGTGTCTCCTGTTGGACACCAGGATGCCTGAATATGAAATACTCAACACTCAATACAGGGTAGTTGGGGTGGTCTAGCAAGGTCTCAGATTTGGGGCTAGGCCCCATGCTCTGCTCAAGACTCGAACCTATTTGGAACTTTGGGTTTGGCGTTCAGTCGAGCTGCATTGAGTTGAGACCTTGTAAGCCTAAACCCTAAAGGCCCTGCCCCGGCCCCGACCAAATCGTCGTAGCTCCTGTGTGCGTGTAATGGCATATACCTGCTACCCTTTGCCGAGGTTCTTGAGCAGGGTCGTTATGTGAGGATTGGCGATAGTCACTAGACCACAAGTCTCAAACTCTCATACAGACACGCCACATGAGACTTAGACGGCCACTGCTTCAAGGTAGGCCAGAGGTCACAGGGCATGGTCTGTCATCTATCAAGAACCAGGCCAAGTCATGACAGCAGCTCGAGGGTGTAACATGTGCAGGGTTGAACTCATCGAATTCCATACATGCTACTGTATATTCTCCTAACCGTAAATCATTTCCCAGACTCATGCACGTCCAAGATCTTAAACGTTTACGCTACAGGTCTAGATCTTTTAAAGTTTGGATCCTTGTGCCTCCTTAGCCGTCTCCTCCCACTCCGAGCAAGTTTAACTGCTTTTGTCAGTGTCGCAATTCGAAAAAAAGTCTCGACCAGTATTTTACTGCACTTGGGTACGGGTGAGAAGGAATAACATTGCTACTTCTTCTGGCTTCGAGACTCCAGATTTCCTACTTGTGGTGTGCACACTCATGCAAGGCCTCCTCCCACGCAAAGCAGCCCAAAAACACCTTCGTGAACATAAAGAGCCCCAACATTCATTTCTGACAACCCGCTCACATCAACGTTAACTCCATCATCAGCCCTCAACCAAAAGAGAGTTACCCTATCTCAGCTTAGCTTCTGTTGTTCTGGAAGTGGTTGTAGAAGCCGCACCCGTCCTGGATACAACCTGGGTGCTTCATGAAGGCTTTTGCATCGCTGGGAGTCAGGGACGGCTATCAAATTTGCACAAGCTTGGATGTGAAATTTACAACAAATGGCAAAAGGTCATGCTTTCGTCCCAATGTGTTTACACAGTGCCTCATGAATCGCATGAACATGACTTCGGGAGCCTTACATACCAAAAGCTGATGCACAGAATGGGACCAGTTCCTCCTCTGTACACCGCTATTTGGGGTGAGGTCGGGTGAGGTCGTAGGCCTCAACATCAGACTCCACATCTAGCATCTGGCTCGACACAGTTGCCAGAGAAACTAGCCGCGTAACTTCAAGGCGTCGCGTGGCTGTTTAACAAATTGCACAAGAGAAGTGCGCAATGATATCACTTGGTCAAACGCGCGGGCCCGACGTCTTTGCTTGACAACGGGACAGCGCGGCAGGTATTCTGCGCAAACTTCTCAGTTTCTTGCTACAGTATCTGCGTCGGCTATTCCTCCTCTTGCTCGCTGAGATCTTCTGCACTGATTTTCTGAAGACGCGAAGTCTCGATGAAACCGGCGAGAGAATCGTCAAGCAACACAGGCGCGCAAAAAAACAAACCATCCCAAAAGGACAGTCGACCCTCACTATGCCAGATTCAGTTACTTCTATTCTAGATGAGATGGAGTTGGTTTTGCTCGGAGACCCTGAAAACAAGATTTGAAGCAAGTTCAGGCTGGCGGTCTTTAACGTGCACGCGGAGACCCAGATATGTTGCCACACAAAATGGAATCATCTGAAAGAGACCACCATCTAAACTCGAAAATCAGCTTCAAGTCGTCGTTGACCAACCAGCGCACCTTTGAGAACACAACCATGCCAAACAAGAGAGGCCTATCGGAGTTTTGCCAAGTAAACATTCTGGCCCTTGGGAGTCCTGGTTGGGGACTGGACTTCTCAACAGAAACCTTCAGCCTGCTCAACCATTAAGATGCCCCTGGCGGCGGTAGTCTGTGTCGTTGTCTGTGACCGTCCACTTCCTCACATTGGCGACAGCATGGGAGGTTCTGCTTTAAGAAGGAAGTTTAGCACTTGGACCCTGAGGGCAGGGCTTCAAGTAAAATCACCTGGGTTTGCAAGTTCTACTTTGCCTTCGGTGTTGGGTGAGCTGGATGTTGCTGGCTGCAAATAGCGCCTATTCGGCTCAAATACAATGTCGTGCGATGACTTAACCATGCTTAGTTGGGGAACGAATTCATGCAGTAGTTCCCATGTCATCCTTGCCTGGTCCCTTTGAGATGCCCTCTGACTTGCTACGGAGCATGAGTAGGATTACGAATTCGATTGCTGGCAGGAACCTCGAACGACTACTGGGCTGACACGACCATGCCAATGACTATGAGGCTTGCCAGGAGCTTCTACTGAACGACATCAGCAGCTTTGCACAATCTGCCTGGAATGTTCCACGAATAACGTGTAAACAGCTTTTACACAGAGACCCCGACAGGTCCCGATACAATCCAGCCTACAGGCTCAACATGAAGTACCTCCACAAACCCTGAGACTGCATCCCTTGACCCTTCATCCCACTTTGGAGACCCAATCTGTAAACCAAGTGCAGGCGAACCCCTCGACTCTGAATACCTCGTACCCTCTTCCAAGTCCTATAATTAATGCCAAAGCCCTAACAATCGTACTCTGCACAGGGCGATCGGCTCCAATTGTTGAAAGGACCCTCTAATCACATGATAGTCGTCGAAAGGTCCTGGTTTCAGTGGGGGGTAACCAAAACTCTTCCGCAAAGCAAATAAAACCTCACCCTCAACATCTGTGAATCCTGCGTTGTACCCAACTCCTGGATTTCATGCATGGCTACAGAGTCCTGGGCTTTACCCAAGATAGTTTCTGCACACTGTTGCCCGGCAAGGTGCAAGTGCCATATCGTGGATGTCGCAATCTCGTTCTCCACCCAAGGTGGGTCTAAGGACCTCAAATGCTGGCTTGGCAGGCGAAAGTATCTGGGAATGCCAAGCTTGAATATGCAGCAAGCATGTATTCCGTGCGTAAGGGTCTATGTATCTGCCCCTTGAAAGAAAGAAAAAATGAAGAGGTTAGTGTTGGGGTAAGGCTGGTACGAGTAAGGTAGTAAACGCGGGCAGGGTAAATGCGGGCAGGGCTCCTTTTTTTGTCGGTGGTTCATATGTGTTCCGATCATTCGTGCAATGTCTAACGGGTCTGAATGATGCAGTGGGGTCGAGGTTTGTGTGGGTTTATGCTAACATGGATTTTGGCCATTAATAAGTTTCGGGCTTATAAAGCCTCTTTGGGATGATGTTGTGGACGGCTGCGATAAAATCTTGGATGGGAAGATTCTATGTATTCCTTGCAGGAGAACACTCAAGAATGTGATAAACCATGGCAGAAGTGCTTGTCACGTCTCACGTCCCAAGTCCCAGAAACGTCTAAAGCCACACCAGTCCTGGAACTGCAAGCCCTAAACACGAAGTCACAAACCTTAAATCCGAAATCCGAAGCCCAAGCTCCAATCCCTCCAAACTGCGCTGATTGCTTGCAAGGCACAGAAGTGCCTTGCGGATGTGCTCGTCCGGGCCATCAAAGCAGAAAGCTCGCTCCTACCCAAAGAATTACACTCCAGGAATTGGCCTTTGGTCCAAGTATAGGGCTTTGTGTTCAGGAAGTCGAGTTTGGGGGCACAGGTTGTATGGATCAGGGTTGTGGATTATTGTTGTATCCTTGAACGTCCTGCTGTGGCTACCTGCAACCCTCCTGACCTGGCTGCCCCAACCTGCAATGGAATCAACCCGGATCCATGCAACTTCTGACTTCTAAGGCTTGCGTTGCTCTTCCTAGCTATTTGACGTCAAGCCAGTTTTGGACTTTTCACCACCATTTGGGTTGAGGTCGGGAGAGATGTTTTCAGAGTTTGTTCAATTCTCCTTGCGTTGGAAATGCAGCCACTACGTAGGACATAGTTACGCTGGACTTCCAAGGAGTCTGAAAATATAAGAGCTTCTAACTCTGAACAGTCAAATGCTCGGGGCGTGGGATTGTTCGAAGCTATTGCTTGTCTTGCAAGGGTGTTCCTAGCTGTCTTAAAGCTGTGCAATCGTTTGTTTTTTCCATTTCGTTCTTGTTATTTTGCCGGGGCGGCTCATTCCAAACAGTTCCTTCCGGCTGAGAGACGATCTGGGCATTGTGTTTTGCTCAGAAGACTTTACTTGAGCTAATGCTTCCAAGTTGGCGAAGGCTTTTGCTTGACAATTTCGGGCATGTGGAGGTACATCGTGGGAAGAGAGACGAGCCCGCCTGAGGTCCCCCAATCAAGCCCGATACCAAATCCCGAACCCGTCATACCAGTGGCAATGTGAAAGGACATGGCTGAAGCTGTTTTCCGCTGTTTCTCATACATCCCAACTTCCCTGAACCCTGCGCCAGCAGCTGCCACGTCAGCCTTGTTCTTTCCGTTGAGATTGTGAGCGCGCCGCATATAAGCCTGAAGCTCACAGGATTATTTTATCTTCCTTTGCGCACCCGCAAAATTCTAATCCTGATTGTAGAGAGCCCAAACTCTTCGAAACTCCCCATGCAAGAATTTTGGGGCCTGAATTATTTCAGGACGCGATCTGCAGCAAAGGCACCGCAAGAAGATCTTCTTTCCTGCAGCTCCTGCTTTTCTGGGTTGAGGTGGTGCAGGATTTCTTCCATCACTCGGACATGTTCGACTTTAGCCCCTTCCAGCGTTGCCAATAAGCTTCCGGTGCCCTTTCCAAAAACCTGAGCCGGGAACCCGTGCACTCAACCCTAAACCTATCGGTCCCTACATATGCCTGGAAACCCCCTTTGAAAAGGCACCCTAAACTTGCCTGAAACCTGTTTGTGAGACCCAATACTGTCTGCGCTGGGCCTCCGCAACACTGTCTCGAGGCATTGCAATCTCAGCACACCAGAGGCTTTCAATGGACCAGGATTGGTGCAATGTTCGGCTTCTGCATTCATAAGGAGATGTAATGGAGGGACCTGCACGGGAGCAGTGATTTGGCAAATGCATCTTTTTCCCTCCCTAACTGCAATACGTTTATGCCAGCAGTAAGCCAGAATCTTGGGTGGAGAAGGTGGCCCGCAACTGCGCGCGGTGCAGGACTTGGCTGCATTGGCATTCCAGAACGAAGAAGTGCATCAAGGTTGTCCATGATGTTGAGATGGAAGTGCGCATCTTTACCTCCATGATACCAAGACCCAAACCTGGCTTCCCCCTTCAAAGGCTACTTTTTGAGAACCTTGGAGGCAGGCTCCGTAAGGGTCTAGGGTTTCCAGATGCGGTTCGGCCATGCTTGGGAAGGGCGGGCTGACGGACGGGGAGGGCTGGACTGAGAACCATGCTGATATGCACCACCTCAAAGCAGCATAGGCATCAAACGTTTGTGGCCATGCTCTTGCTGGAGGCTTTTAACCCGTACGGCGACAAGAATGGAAGAACGAGATCTCTTCGAGTTTCTGCGCGAAGGAATTGCGAACCAGAGATTTGCACGACTCTTCTAATTTCATCTTATGACGGCGAGATACTGTTCTGAGGTCATCTTTGCTGGGGCCTCCGGCATTTGAATCAAAAGATATACATATATCAGCCAATAAGCTGAAACTGTTCCCTGAACCGTGTAGACCATCACCTGCTTGGAAATCCTGAACCTGGAAGCCCTAGGCTTCACAGTAGGAGCCCTACTGCACAGACATGTGCCCTGAGTCCAAATGGCCAAAACAGCCAGGCATTCCTAATCCCAGGCACTCGCCGAAACGCCCGAACCCTATAATCTCCACTTCTTAGCTGGGGAGCTCCCCCCGACGCCAGGGTTTGGCTGAGCGGGGTCTTGCTGGACTCTCCTCAGGGGACGTGTAGACAAATCAGGGGTTTTTGAAGTATATGACATAGTTTAAGGTTTAGCATTCAGGGTTCAGAGATGTACAAAGTCTTTGGGCTTTCAGCATTGAGCTTGTGGCTTCGCACTGCCTCATGAAGCTGTTCTAATGGCTGCGCCGCTTCTGTAAGAAGTTTTTGACCTAACCAACGTAAATTCCGCTGTGTTGTATGCTTAAGATAATTTGGACTGCTTTGAGACCATTTGAAGCTGTTGGGTCAAGGACATTTGCGGCCGCCAGATTTGCTGCTTTGCTCTGTTTTGCGACGCTCCCTTGCTTGAGTCTCAGGAGGATGCGTGACACAAGTTCTAGATTTGAATTCCGAGAGCGATAGGAGATGCGCAACCTACCCTCCCCCACCTAACATCAAAATTTAGAAGATGGTTCGTTGAATTGTTGGACCCAAGTACAATGTTATGTTTCAGGAGGGTTGGAACACAAAATGCAGGAAATGACCTGCGTTGTTTCTCCTGCTCCACAGCCCCAAGTTGTGGGAAGCTGACTTGCTCATGTCTACCAGCTACCCAGCCTAAAAGGAATTCGGGGATGCTGCAATCATTTCCTGCACATCGTATACCTAAAAATGTTTGGGTTCCGATCGAGGCTAGTTAATATGAGCTGGCCAAGAGTGTGCTTAAGATAATGAATGAAATGACTTTCCTCATCCAAGCCGCCAATGGTGTTTGTGGTTGATGGTGCTCCGAAGGCCCTCGTAAACCCGCAACCCTGATACCCTACACCTTCGAGCTTCTAAAATCCTAAATCCCTACGCCGCACATGCCCAACCCCCGACCCTCAACAGGTAAACCCCCACAATCTCTTTTGACTCTCGACCGTCCTCCCCGCTTTCCTCCGAGCCCATTGGGAGGCACCTCATGGGGCACCGGCGCTCGCGCTGGGTGCAGGGTGATTAGAGGGTTTAGGGGTTGGGGGTTCAGCATCTTGACCCTGAAGCCCGAAAAGCAAGTCCCAAGTCCTCAGCCCCGGAACCTGAGCCATGCGTTCCAATAAACCCGAGGCGTTAAACATGGAGCCCAAAACCTTTAGCCCTAAACCGTAAGCCGGTTATCTCTGCAGCCTAAAATTTCAATTGCTACAGGGGCCTGGTTATTTGGCCAATATCATTGTGGTCAATCTGACGTAAGCTATACCATAATCGAACAAGGACTTTGGGGTACTAACACAAAGTAAGGAATGCTCCTGATCTAAGCCCTGTAATATTACCCTGGCCACCTGCTCCTTCCCACATCGCTCAAGGCTCCCTGACTTGCCAGCGCAGTCTGAGCAACAGCCGATGGCTGGGCTTGAGGGTTTGCCACTTAGGGTCGTGGGGTTTAGGGTGTTTTGGGTGTACAGGTTGGAGAGAAGTGGGGGTTGAAGATTTGTGACTGAGGGTTTGGTGGGATGCGCTTGCGGTTTAGGAGATTGAGGTCCAGGATCGCATCTCGCCAGGCAATCCACGGAAACCCACTATCATCTCCAGATTCAAGGCTGAAGGTGTGCATGGTGGGATTTACAGGAACCATAGGGCTTGAAGTTCAGAACCCACAGGGCTCCCCGAATAGAAGCTACAAGGAAGATGCCTACACAGGCCTTCAGAGCCGCTGGAAGGTCACAGTCTTTTTCAGGCTTTGGAGTCTGAGATACGTTGCCCGACTTGGGAGTGATCTATTCATCCCTACATAGTCTCCTTCTATACTTCCAATATCCTTCCCCCTCCCCCTGAAGCACCAGGGAGATTGTCGGACTTGAGTGGACCCCCTAACAGTGCAACCCCGGACCTTCAACCTTCAAACGCCGAAATAGCTTGGGGTTTGGGGACCCTGCAACTCGGAACCCTACATGCGCATGGCCTTTGCAAAGGAGGAGGTGGCCAAAGTGTCATTGTCGCTCTGAACACTCCTGTGAACGTTCACTTCCTCTGGTGGTTGATAGAAAGCAGAATGGGTAAGAGGGACTATTATGGGGATTTCATGGGCACTGCACTTTTTGGGGGATCCCTTCCTCCCATGCCTACTGACCGCCAGCAGCTTCGGGATTGCAAAACGTAGGCTACCTGCAGGGTTTACTCTGTGACGTGTTTGGAGGGAGTATCTAAGGGGACCCATAAGGAGACCCAAATCCAACCCACTCAAATCCTCTTAAAAGCATATACCCACCCAAATGTCAGACGCACCTCTGCAGCACATCTTGTGCAGTACAGGCCATGCATTACAAGTCGCCAGAAAAGAGCAAGTGCTCCCTGACCTCTAAACAATATAACGCCCTAAGGGTACGCTGAGTACTTCAGTGAACATTTGGAGCTTAGTGGCTTGATGCTGAGGGGTGGCACAACATTGTAGAGATGGCAGCGTTGGAATGACTGTCCAAAGGGATCCTAAGAGAACTCGTGGCTATCTATGCTTCTGAATTCGGCGACCGGTTTACAGCAAGTCGGCCTGGGGTGTAGGGTTTAGGACCTATGGGCTTCGGGTTTCGGGGCCTTGGGGTTGGGGGGGCTTCTGGTCAGGGGCATATAGGGCTCAGGGGATCCACAGGGCAGATTTCATGGGCATTCTTGTGCGGGGTCATCTGGATCTAGACAAGCATTGAATTCTTGAGCCAGAGAAGTAGCGCGGCCAGACTGGTTTAGGGTTTTAGAGTTAGGAGGGTTTAAGGTTGAATGCTATAGTGACAAAGGAGCCTTGTAAGGGGACACGAAACCCTGCTTGGGGTTCCATCTTGCTGGTGCGAAAGGGAGCCGGGAGCCCAACATGCTCAGCTGAATATAGGATCCCTCGTCCAGCGTTTGGGAGGTTGAGGGTTCAAGCCCGACGGCTAAGGGTTTGGGACTAATGCCGGCTTAGGGTACACCTCCAATGATGCACCCACCCACCCGCAGATATCATTGCACATTTTTCCTGATATATCGGGTCTCCGTAGGGAATGTCTTTTGTTAGCCATAGGCAACGGACGTTGCTGACAGGACATCCAACAAGAGTCTCATGCCTTCAAGCGTCTAAGCAGTCAAGATTTAAAATCTTCTGCACCCCCAGAGCAAACTTTATATAGACATGCAAGCTCTCAAAAATCTCTGGGACACCTATGTCTTCCTGTAGCCCCTGTATACAATACTTGCAGAAGCCTCCAAATTTCGAGACCCTGAGATTCAAATTCGCACCGTGGAGGCTGTAGAAAGGTATGGTGCTCAATCTTCAAACCTGAGCTGTGACAGGAACTTATCCTCATGGCTTCGGTAGTTGTTGCTCGTTTGGGCTCGGGATGCAGTCACAGCAGCTGTTGCAACGCGTCTTCCGCAGCCGATGGACACTTGTCTCGGACGCTACACTTGCATCGCTACTGCTCTTGAGACTAAAACACTTCCATGACCCTTAGCACCTTCTGCCTTTGGACTCGTAATTTAATTGTGCCCCACTATGCAGGGATCCGGATGTGTAGGCAGACCTCTGTGTAGCTTCTGAGTTTCTGAACTTGACATGCAAGGTTTACACCGGTCCATTAGTCAAAGTGAATATCAATCTGTATAGTCTCAAAGCCCTAAACTCTACAACCAGATGTTGCTGTATACCGCTGTAGGATTCGCGCATCGCGCTCTTGAAGTTCAGTGTAGCTCATCCCTGGAATTTTACAAAGCTCCTGAAAAGGTACCCCTAAGACTAAAAACTCACATACTGGAAGCCCTACAGCTTCGACTTAGCTCCGCCGGACAAGCGCTTCATCACCTCCGCAAGGGCTAGGAAGGGATTGGGGCGGTCAAGGGTTTTGAGGCTTTACAGCATGATGTCTCTGAGGATTTCGCATCTCGGGATTTGGGGGTTTGGGGGTCTGGGGATTCAGTGGTTTCAGGGCGAAAGGTCTAATGTCAAGGTTTACAATGTAGGCGAACCTATTCCCATCCGGCTGTTCGAAGTTGCCTTGTCAGGATCAGTTTCTCGATTTGTGCGTGACGGCTTTTAGTCTTGAGATGTTTGCAGGCTACAACTTGCTATGGGCTTAAGGCAGGTAGGGGACTAAAGGTTGTGCTATCGGCCCAGAAGCAGCGGAGGACACCTTCAACTTCCCACCTTTTGACTCGATAAACTAAGCCCGAGCCAGTCAGCCCCAACTCCCAATCCCAAACCCCCTGAGCCACCTAAACTGGAGGACGTTTGGTCCTGGTAGCCTTGAGGACATAAAGGTAGTTCAGCATGGGGTTCCTCTTGTAATCTACTAAGTAATCCCCCCCCTCTCCTACTCAAACCCACACTCGCTAGGTCAACAGTCATGAATACTCTCAGGGGCATACCTAAATTCACCAGAACAAAGCCCTCAACCCTAGAACTCTTAACCCCAAAATCCCAAACCCCCGAAAAATAACCCTAACCCGCCTGAAGTAGAGGTTTTCACCGTTTTATGATACTTTTCAAAACCTGAAAGCAAAGTTGGGACTAGAGGAAATTTCTTCACAGACCACCTTTTGGGGCAAGGTCTTCTGAGGTCATTAAAATTTGCACGGGAGGCCTGGTCTAGGGAGGCAATGGTCGCTGGGTGGTTGATGGCCTTCCACACCTCCATAAACATGCGGGCAGAGCCATCTACATGCGGGGACTTACGCTTCAAGGTTGTTCTTCCCCCACGACTATTTATACCTCATCCATAGCGTATGGGAGCCCTTATGGGAGTAAGATGGGAACTCCCTACCTGCCGTAAGTGTGCTTTCGCTTGCCGATGGCAGACCTTTAAGGGTGTATCCTGTGCAAGGGATATAACAACCACCCACACAAACATGTAACAAAAGATTACCACAACCACACCAAGAACTTCATCTTCCTTCCCAATCTTGGGCTGCCTACCCTACTCATGCGATACTTCACGGGGGCTGCAGGATTGGAAGCAAAGAATGGAGTAAACGCGGCTAGCTGCAAACGGATTAGCTCCCCAAAAGTGCATCTGAAGGCCTTTTCTGGGCTTCGGGTGCAGGGAGGTTCAGATTAACAAGGGGAGGGTTGAAGGAATGTCTATGGCCCAAGGGTGCTTGAGAGGCTTTCCCAGTGGCGGAATTCCGGCCGGGAAATCCAAACACATCACAGATACGAGAAGCAATGGGGATGTATTTCTTAACACTGTTCTGAATTATGTCTTGCTGTTCCTATATTCCTGTCATGGTTCTACCCTGATCTCTCCAGAAAAGCCATCACTAGTCTGTGCTTTCAGAATATTTAGACAGCGAGAACTATGCGCCTCTTGCCCCTCCCACTCAATGCCATCTCGCCATCGCTGTGCAAACTCACCTGCCAGGCTGCTGAATTCAAAGAGCCAAAGGATTCATGTAAAGCCTGAATAAAGAATCCTATCATCCCCTTACATTCCACATCGAGCTACAACATGATGGGCCCAAAATCCTTTTGCAACTTAATAAGCCACTACATCGGGGCTTTTACAAGCCTACGTCCAGAGCTTCCGATTGATTTTTGGCTCTAAACAACACACATGCATCGGCACAGTCTTGGGCAAACAGTTGCGAAGCAAACGCACATATCGATCACAGCCTGTCTATTCTTCCTGGAAGAAACGAGCGTGGGTCGAAACGCTATATGATCGGAGGATTTTGGTAACCCCGACCCCAAAATGAGGAACCTAGTGTCATCATGCAAGTTACAAGGTCCTAACCTTGACCCCTTAAGACTCAAACCGCCTACGCCACTGAAGACAGTCTGCCTCACTAGCATGTACTGCGATTGTACCTCTCCAAGCCGTCAACCCCTCTCAACATGCCAGCACAAAGGAGAAACCGCGCCTCGCATGTGTCGCTTGGTGGGCACATAGCCCTCAAGACTGGGTTGCTTTGGGGCTCGGGCTTCAAGGCTTTAGGATGCTAACTCCATGCGGCAACAGGCGTGAGGGGTCAGAATGCCACCTTCATTCATATCAGTGGCCCAGAGCCTTTTCCCGTGTCTGAGAAAAGCCTCATGTTACACAGAAAATGCTCACAACAAACACAACACCATTCCGATTACGGACCTAAGCTTAAACTTGTCAGTCCTCATGTACGTTAAACCACCCATCCTGAACCCTGAAGACTGGGCTCCTGAAAGCAGAATTCCAAACCCTAAGACCTTACATCCCAAAACCAAAGCGCAAGGTCCCCCATTCTAAGCCCTAGGTCCTGAATTCAAGTGAATCCAAGGCAAGGGGTCAGGCCCAGAATGTGCTCAGGGGTATAGATTTCCAGAGGGGCTTTGGGCTTGAGGGTTTCAGTCAGAACACAGGGTTGTGATTGAATGGGCATATAGGCCTCAGAGACATGGGTCGAGCAGTCAGCCTGCATTGAGTTCACCTACCTTTGCACGCTGGAAAAGGACACTCACCCTACATACCCGTTTTGGCCAGTCATGATGCACGACAGGAAGCACCGGGAAGACTCACTGAGACAGGTCCGCTGTAGCAGTCATGCATGGGACAAACGTAAAAGAAGTAAAACTACTACCGCCGCAACATTCGCGCTGGCTGGGGGCAGCATCTCAGGGTCTGTGATAAGGAGACAAAAAAAAAGCGCATTGAATGGAAACAACCGGCCCCTTTGGGCTCCTAAATCAAATCCTTGTTGTGGTTCGAGAAGGTTTCTTCTCCCAACCCAATGCTTCACATTACAGTGAAACTGGCTGTATACTCTACCGCAGCTGAAAGGACTTGAGCAATGGCTCCTTCTGTCGTATGCCCTCTGTGGATCTGAAATAGCATAAGCTCTGAGCCCAGTGGTTCGAGCAATTCAATCTGCGCGGGAATCAGTAATACCCTGAAGTTAGGACCGGAAAGGCCGCATTCATCCTTCCCTTCCCAAGGCCTCGCTGGGGAACTTCAGCCATTTTGTGAGCCTTTCTATGCCAGCTGGCATCAGGTCCTGCTGACCAAGGGAGCTCGACACCCCTAAATTCCTGAATTGAGGCGTTCTGGGCTCTCTGGGGAGCGGCTGGCGGCCAGTCTGTCCATGCATGTAGGCTTCAGTTCTTCTAAGGGTATATTGGGCTTCTCTGGAACATTAGATCGGATAGACTACTAGACTGATTTCTCCTTAGGTCAACCTCAACTTTCGGCGTAGCCAACACTCCAACACCATCCTAGATCTCATCATCATGTCTTTCGTGAGGGCGAACGCCGCCATCCGATGCCACCATCACAGAGCTGTTGGGGTCTTCTTGCCACAGCCCGAAAACCCAAACCCTAAAGAGCAACTGTCAAGGCAAGCTCTACCGAGTTCCAATCCTCAGGCTTCTCGACAATCTCATCCACTAGCTGCCTTGCTCAATGTCTGATCCATATTCCGCTAGGAAAGATCCGTACGTTTGAAGATCTATAGAAAGCACCTAACCCAACCAAGCACAAACCATCCAGAAAAAAAGGAGGATCCAGCTTTGACAGGAGGCGGCGGTGTCGTGCTTCGAGGAGAGGCTGCTCAGGAGCAGGGTGGGCTCAGGATGCGCTGCTGCTGATGCTGCCGCCGCCGCCCAGCCCCAGCACCACCACGGATTCGTATAATAATGTTCACACGCAACCGGACAAGATGCCCCTAAAAGGCAGAGGCTCTACCCAAAGCACATTGAAGCACGACGACACTTAGAGGTTCCAGTTCAGCATTCCGCCCATGCCATACTGGAACTCTGGACCCTAAGTCTATCCAGCTGATTCCAGAAACTACCCTCTCTGGACACTCTCCTCTCCCGCCCCTGCGCTCCAATTCTACTTCAATACGATGAATAGACCGTTTGTCATTCAGGTAAAGGCTTGCGGTCTCTAGGACAAAGATAAAGCATCCAAGGGGCAGTGACCGTAGGTCGGTAGAGGTTGGCATAGAGGCGCTGAGCAGCAAATCCTATGTCATGCTAGACGAAGTAATGTAGGGCCTAGATGTTGGATTCGCGCTGTGCGGCTTTTTTATAGTATAGTTTTTATCCGGATTCTAGGGCGACATTATGAATCTAGTCCCCTTTATTGGATTGTTTGACGCTTGACCAAAGAGTCGGGTTTATGGAAAGGGAGACTAGAATTCTGATTTCCCTGTCATCGATTTCGCCGCAGGCATGCCATGAAATTAACGTCACGCGTGGCAGTACTACATTGAGGGGTTCTGACATTGGGTTTCTCTATCCCTCTTGTAACCAAAAAAGAACCTATCAGTAGCAGTAGTCGCCGACACAATGCAGGCCACGAACTGCTCCAGGCCTGACGGGTGCTGAAGGACTTCTCAAAAAAATACCAAGATCTCACGAACATGGATAACATCCCAGAATGATGGCCTATGCACCCCTTACTTCGGCTATGTGTAGGCGACTATTAAGGGTGTGTAGGACGCTTAGGACGTTTATCTACTTGCCTCGGCGGCACGAAGGCCACAAGTTCGCGCCATGAGCCTTGTTTGAATTTGGGGTCAGGGTGAAAGGTCCTCAAGATTGTTGAAATGGATCCTTACATGATCCCCTATCCTAGTCTGTATAGACCATTCCTTCATTCTTTCTGAGCACCAGAGAGGGCTTTTAGTGTTCGAGGGCGTTGGGCCTAGGGCTCTTCTGGTAAAGGTTTGGGGTATTGGGTCATCCTTGTGATGTGCAATTGCGATATCCCACACTCTGCTTGAGGGGGTGTCTTGTCGCCTCTCTGATTTCATGCTGGGGCTTCAAGCACCCACGGTGGATCATGCTTCTTTGCAACCAAGTAGGCCTCTTATGAAAAAATAGTGCTACCAAAAATGTTAGTGATAAGCGGCTATGGGACTTTGCCTGGTTATTGCTTGATTTTTTGTCTACCTGTGTTTCACATAGTCCTGTCTGACAGAAGCCAGGGCTAATTTATGCTCTCGAAGCAACATGGTTGCCCTGACTTAGGATTGGAAGAGGTGCCGTTCCAGGAGATGCAGAAAGCACCTAGAAAACGTCGGATTCCATGACTTGGCCTACCGACTGTTACTATCATACGCTGGTCTTGGGCCCCGTATCTGCTTTCAAGGACCGCCCATCGGGGTCCACAAGAATCTGTGCGCATAGTCCGGTGACAAAGTTCTACTGCCTTGGGATTTATGAAACCCAGTTTTGAGCATACCCCTGAAACTGAAAGTCCAAACAAAGACTCGTTAGGAGGGTTGCTGGCGGTGTCTGGGGTCCGACGAACCCTCTCAATATAGCATGCCATGAATACTGAAGGTGGGCAAGACCGAGAAACTGAAGTCACAAGCCGTGGCTTTCACAACATTAGGGCCCCCTTTCTACCACCAACGCGTCCCCATCGGCAAGGAAATCTGGGAACTCCCAAATATCACCCCGCCCAAAGGAAGGATCCAGCTTCCCTGGCGCGGAACTCGCACCAGTAGAATGGAACACGCATGCCCAGAGCCACCTGTGGCTTCTTCCGCAATAAGGGTAAGTTTGCTAAGCCCAACACGCAGAGTAAGGGTTCTATAGCGGCTATGTAGCGAGCACATTGGGATTTTACCGGCGCACGTAGCGTTGGAGTTTGGTAGTGCCGTCTCCCAAGACTATGACATACTATGACGCTATTTTAATCGTGTGACGATAAGGCTGTTAGGGGCTGGGATTGCAATCCTTGTTATGGGGACCCCCAAAATGTACCCCTAATTTCGGGAAACCCTAGACCCCATATGACCTTCTTGAGGAGATCTCGGCAATGTGGAGGCTTTACTGAAATGATGGAGGGCCCTTGCGGACTATGTAGGGATTATTCTGAAGAACTCCAGTCCTTTTTTCGCCATAGTTCCAAGACGGCTTAAGGTTCGGGGTGCAAGTAAATGTAAGCGAACAAATTGGGAAGTGTCAGGCTGCTTCGCGCACATCATGTTGTCGAGGAGTTGCGTGTGGGGTACCGCTGCATAAATGAGATGCAAGGGCTGTGAAGGGTATTGCGTGGGGGAAACAAACCGTTTGACAATTCTGAACCCTCAACCCTAAGCCAGGTAACACCTTAAGGCCGAGCTGAAATGTCTGCTGATGAACATCCTGGCCTCATTGAGTCCCATGGAGCCGTTCCAGGTAATAATGCGCCAGTCCTTGTCTGCTGCGCGCGGATTCAAAATTCAGAAGGTTTGTGCTTAGGTTTAAAAGTGTGTAAGTTCTAGTGAGGTTCTAAGCGGTTTCACAAAACAAGGGACATGCGTTGCAAATAGAGAAGTTTCCGGTATCATTTTCTCTACAATAAGAAGAAAGTCCGCTACTCCGGCATACGGTTTACGTTGACCGTTCTTGGGACTACATGCGGTCCGATGGTTCTGGAGTAGATCTCCACGGTACGTCTAGAAAGCTTGAGGTTTGAGGCGCATCATGGAGACCCTAAGAGGCTGAGGCCTGACGGTGCAGGAGTTGAGGCTGCGTGGTTCATAGCAGGAGGCCAATTGGAACTTATGGGCAACCCTACGCTATTGGCACCACGAAGTGTGAAAGGCCGAGTGTTGGCATTGAACTTCTCAATTCCAGCCGGCACCCAATGAAACTTGTCTCGAGCGTCCTGATGCCTACGGCAGGTCATGGTTTCTCGATACGGGCCCCGCAAGTACCTGGAAAGCCCTATGCCCACAATTTGTGGTCTACTTCTTCCTAGTGACTCACCAGTCTGGATCAAAGTAGTCCATGGGTCTAAACAACTAGGTTTTCCAGCTAGGTCACAAGGAACTTTTCATATCCTTTTGTGTGGGGAAGCCCCTCCAAAAAGAGACCCTAATCTCATTGCGGCACATACCAGGGCCCTATGCTTCCTACAGTGCAGGCGCACATGAGCTTCACAAGAAATTTGCCAAACATGGTAGCGTGCAAAGCGAGACGACAACTTTGGCATATATATATATATATATACACACAGACAAGAAGTTAATCGTTTTCACTGCGCTGGCCATTACTTTTGAATCAGGTGTGGGTTCCTGGGGGAGGTACCAAATATATATATATATGTATGTATACATATCAAACCTAAGCTGTAATATAGACATATGCAAAATGCAGGGTTTCCTCATGCTTCTTAACAGCAACCAATCTAAGTCCTAGGTCGGGGCGCACAGCAGAGTGCCAAAACACAACCGCCGGCTGGGCAGGCTCCGTTGATGATGGCCACCGTGGAGAGCCTTAAGATGGGCTTACAGATGCTTACAGTTTGAAGTTTTCGTCTTCTGTGACTTTGGGGGGTCTTGCCCCAGAGAGGGACACCGGTGTGGGCGCATCAATCTGGGCAGAGGGAGGGCCACCATCCTCAGTTGGCGGCATATGCCCTGGACTTCGGGTTTTTGGTCTAGCGCTTCCGGTTTAGGGGCAACGCCACGGACTGGGGATCATAAGAAGATTCCATAACGAATTGAATATATCCTATGATAAAAGTGCGCCATGTTGAGAATATTATGCAGGGACACACCTTGAACCCTAACGGCTAAACCTCAAACTCTAAACCCCAAATCTTAAACTCTAAACCTTGAACCTCAAACCAAAAAGCCGTGATTCTGAGCCCTACAGACGCCGCAGGCTTACCCCAGGGGTAAGCCTGAGAAGCCTCAGGCACATGACGTCAGTTTACGCAGACCCTCCAAAGTAGCCCAGAATCCCTGAACGCGATGACTGTTACAACAATCCCCTTATACACCCCTTATATCTTTTTGGTCACCACTTGCACAAGATGATCCAAACAGTGGCCGAGATAGGCACGGCATCAGTTTCGGGCGCTCCATACTTCAGATTTGTCAGGAGGTCTGGGTACATGGCTGGATGTTAGCCTTGATTCTTGGCACCTGCCGAGTCAGACAGAGTGATTACTGCATTCCTGGACGAAAGATATCGTAGTTTTGTTCCTAGAAGTATCCCACTATGCATAGAGGATCGTCACGTCCCTATTACAAAAACGCCCCCAAAAAGCACCCTAATTCTTGCAACCACCCCTATAGGGACCTGAACAAATGCATCCGTAGCCTCTTTATGCACGTCAGTCTGTGTTTGGGTAGCGGCCTGAAGGCTTCAATCCAATTTGAATGTTGAACTCCTCTCCGCCTTGTATGGAAAGTTTCCTGAACTTGAAGAACTTGGGAGCCACTGATCAGGGGAAAGTATCCACCCTGCGAACCGGGGGATCAACAGCCTGACCAGCATAACCTTGCTTGTCACATGCTTTGGATTCACATTGTGACACACTCACACAAGCAGAACGGTCTTTTGTATCTGACTGAAGCCTTCGTATGAGGGCCCCTGTTTTTGGTGACCGTTTATCCAGCTCTGTCAGTTCATGTTGTCAACGGCTCTTAGATATACGCAAAAGGCCTTTTGCGATGGTATGCTGCTGTGCCGCCGTGCTGGTGCAGCAATTCCACCAGCGCAAATTGGCCGCCGGCAATTGCAAGATCAAGGGGTGTGAGTTCGCGTTGGTTCTGCAAGTTCTTAGCAGCACCGGCTTCCAGGAGCATGCGCGCAACCGCAACTCTCCAATGGCATTCACGGCATGCGTAGTGAAGGGCGGTGGACCCTTCTTTGTCCTGCACGTCCTTGTGAGCATCGGCCGCCAGCAGCAGTTTGACAATACCAACATGGCCTTCGCGGCATGCGCAAATGAGAGCAGTGGAGCCATCTTCATCTTGGGCATTTCTTTCAAGATCCCAGGCCAGCAGCTTCTGACAAGTCTGAAGACGACCCCTCCGGGATGCAGCGATCAGGGCAGTAGAGCCGTGATCATCAGCCACCTTCTTGTCAGCGCCAGCTTCTAGCAACATTTGCACAACTTGAGTGTGGCCTTCGCTAGCAGCAAGGATAAGGGCTGCGGAGCCGTATGCATCCAGGATGTCCAAGTCAGCACGAATCCCTATGAGCACGCGAACAGTATCCACATGGCCTTCTACAGCGGAGCTCATTAATGCGGTGAGGCCGTGCATGTCCTGAGCATCCTGGTGCAGGGTGGTTTCTTGTGTGAGAGATGATTCAGGGGCTCTTTAAGGAGAACATGCCACCCATTACGAAAAAAAATAGGAGTGCCTCTTTTGCTCAAAGAGAGGTCCAAAGCTGACGAATGGTAAGGTACCAAGGAAATGAGCCATACAGATTACTATCAGGGACTACATGGGGACTACAGGACTCCATTCCTCGATCCACTACTAGAACATACGAGCCTCCAGCAAAAAAGAAGAGAACGCGGTCCTTGTTAGCGCCGTTGTCCAGCAACACTCGGACAATGTCAGCATGGCCCCGGCGAGCAGCAGCTATGTGGGCCTGGGCAAGGTCGTCCAGGCTCTGGCCTTGGTTCCTTTTTAAACCTAGGCCCTAGGCTCTCAGGAAAAGGTTCTCTTTGTTGCGCAGTAGAACAAAGAAGCCCATAATCCTAAAAAGGAGAAAGGATCTCTGAACTCGCTCCAGTTGCCGGCGCCAGCTTCCAACAGCGCACGCACAGTCATGGTTCGGCCTTCACTGGATGCAGCAACGAGAGCTGTGGTCCCACATCGGTTCTGCATGCTTGTGTCGGCTCCAGTTGTTATCAGCCTCTGTGCTACCTCCACATGGCCTTCGTGGCAAGCTAGGAGCAAAGCCGTGGACCCATCTTCGTCCTGCATATTGTTGTCAACGCCCGATGCCAATAGCAGTTGGACGACATCAGAGTGGCCATTGTGAGATGCAGCAATCAAAGCCGTAGATCCATGCAAATCTGCAGCGTTCCCACTAGCACCAGCCCCCAGCAACAAACGCAATATCTCAGTATGACCTTTCTCAGCAGCGCAAATCAAGGCTGTGCAGCCATTTTCGCCTCGAGCCTCCTTGTCCGCGCAAGCTTGGAGCAACAAACGAACAATCTCAACATGTCCGTTGAACGAGGCGGCAATCATGGCTGTACATGGTATAGATTCGTCCTCGCCATCCTCAACAATGTCTTTGTCAGCACCGGCATCTAGTAGCAAACGTGCAATTGATCTCTGGCCTGTGCGACACGCGATGATAAGGGCTGCAGAACCATTAACATCGCGAACATCCCTGTCAGCACCGGCTTCCAGCAGCAAGCGTGCAATCTCCACATGGCCCGCGCGGCATGCATGAAGAAGGGCTGTGGAATAATCCTGTTCGTCCACGTCATAGTCCTCCGAGCTCGCAGACTCCTCCTCCCCCTCCTCCTGTTCTGCCCCCTCCTGCTGCTCCTCTTCCCCCTCTTCCTCCTCCTCCTCTTCAGAGCCGATGTCTTCCTCTGCCTCTCGGTCCGCATTTCCACCTTGCAGAAGCAATCGGACAATCTCAAGATGGCCTCGGCTGGATGCTGCAATCAAGGCCGTCCAGCCGTCATCATCTTCGTGGCGCCGGTAAGCACGGGCTTTGAGCAATAAGTCTACAATCTCCACGTGACCTGTGCGAGCTGCGCAGATTAGGGCTGTGGAGTACCGATAGTTGTAGGCTTCCACGTCAGCACCAGCTTCCAGCAACAAGCGCACCATCTCCGTGTGCCCATTGGCTGATGCAAGAAACAAGGCCGTGGACTGCTCTTCGTCCCGCGCGTCCTGAAAAAGCGGCTAGCTTACTGCCTTCAGTCGTTTTGCATAAGGGGCTTAGTAAAGGCTTTGGCGTTTTCAGGTTTCCAATACCTGGGGGTCCTTTCCTGGGAGCTTCAGGAATAATAGAATGGGCTGCGCAATGCAAGGAGGATCCCTGTTTCGAGAAGCTTCCGTTTATGTCCTTGTCCACGCCTGCTTTCAGAAGAAAACGAGCCACCTCCACTTGACCCACCAAAGCAGCAAATTGAATGAGCTCCTGTGCGGCCTCGAGCTCCTCGCGCAGGTGGCTCTAGTAAGGGGGTGGAAATGAGGAACATAATCTACCCAATATCATCTAGGGCCTACAGTTCAGATTTAAGGTTGAATGGAGGAATGGATCCCTCTAGCAACCCCTACATGTTCTCTCCTAGACTGTTCGACTCACTGCATCCTATGCCGTCATCCCTTACTATCCACCAGGAAGTCCTTTGAGCCTCCAGAAACCTCGTGTGCTTTAGGGTTGCAGGCTCAAACGGTTTAGGTTTTCCTGGAATATGTGAAGCTTTTTCAAACAAATCGAAAAGTCTGTGGTTTACGTAATTTCCGTAGGCTGTCAGATCATCCTGACACTTTGCAACATGTCCGCAGCAACTTCCGCTGATGGGGGAAATATAGCACCACCTGCAGTCCCCTAACCGCTGCAAATCCCTCTGGTATGCAAGCTGGGTCTGCCAAGGTCACTCTCCCAATTCGCAGAGCACTAGGCAAAGTCTTCAACTACCATAAGAAAGGCTGCCCAAAAATGGGGCAAACAAATGGCTGCACACCAGGGCCAGGAAACCCCCACCAGCACCAGCTGTAATTCCATGGACACATCCAGCTGCGCGGCATCATTGAGGCAGTTGCCATCGTAGAGGAGGCGCTGAATGCACACCGGGAATCCGTATAACCTACAATTCAGAGAGTCCCCCCCGAGAAAATACGCTTTCTGGCTAGATCTGGTTCTTAGAGCACCCCAGCAAGAACCTCGCAAAAGTTGGAAAGACAAAAAAATGCCAAGTAGGTACCCCTCAGAACCGTCTATCAAATTTCGCGGGTGTCACGATTTAGTTCATAACAAGCATCTACAAAAAACTTGCAAGGGCCAGCGACATGCGCAAATGAAGCTTTAAAGCTGCAACATCAGCAAGTTCCTCCAGACTTACTGGTGCCAGCTCTTCGCCAGAAGTTCTCCAAATGCGCAACATGGCGGATCTTCAAACTTGATCACCCCCCAAATAGTACACGCCCCAAGCCACGCCCTTCAAATTTCATTATACTATATTGAAAACTGATGGGGTGGGGAATTCTTTTTGGTTGGAGGGTACTCCTAACGGAGCCTAATTAGATCATTCGGACATGAGAAAATGTGACAAGTTGCCTTCCTTGTTTCAGCATGCTTTAATGCGATCACTGCAGCAGGAGTACTTTTTAATCTTGTGGCAATTATTCCACGTGGACGCGCATTTATGTAGAATTAAGGCCCTCCAGGGCCTTATTTTCTGCTCCACTTCAAGTTCAACCCTCTGCAGGGCACACATGTTGCGCTTCTAGTCCACTTGCTGAAGCCTTCCCTTTGCAAATCATGGGTCTTGGTCAGAAATGACTTGAACCCCTTCCAATCTTGAGAAGCGGAGGCACGTGCGCTGGAGGTAGGTGCCCTGAAGGTCTGTCCCAACTCTTACACCCTGAGCCTGAAAGCTTTCTCCTAAAACTTTTGGCTGGCTAGTCAAATCAGTGTTCCCTGGAAAGTCATCTCAAGTTTGATGTTTTGTAAGTTAGGAGATCCTTTGAACCCCTGCTAATAGTGAACGCAAGTGATGGCGGCAACTCAACAGTATCAGGGCCCCTCTATATATACACATGCTTTATTCTACCACGACTAAAAACTGAAAAAGGTAACCTAAGGTGTAGGCACAAACGGCGAAGAATGAACGAGTTTGGGATGCTGGGGCTTAGGGTCAAGAATTTTCAAGTGTAGCATTGGGGATGAGAGAGTAGGTCTGCAAAGCCAGAGTTACTTCGCAATCTTCAGGCTATATCGGAAAATTCAATAGGTGGGGTTAGTAGGATGGCCTGGGATCTGTCCAGCAAGGCCTTGACCTCCAGGCATTTCAGCCTGATGTGTCTCCCCAGAGACTTCTAAGCATGCACCAGTGAGGCGCATGCCTGTTATGGACTCCAAACATCAAATTGACTGAAAAAAGTGGCGGCCATATTCAGGGATTCTGCCTGCCAGGCTTTGAAACCAGGACGAGTGGCCAAAGCACGCAACAGCCCTATGCTGGCCGTATGCTTTAACTACTCTAACCCCACAAAAATTTTGCTCATCTGTAGCTTTGGGGTATGCCACCGACCTAAAGTACTGCTTTAACTACAAAAGCCCAAAGATCTACGAATTGAGAGGCCAGTAGCCGGCTGTTGTAGATCTGGGTGAGGACCTGTCTAACGCACATGGAGACCATTTTTCTGGGATTTGGTTTTGCGAGCTCAGGTTAGTATCGAGGGATTGGTGTGTGATTGAAGCTCTAATTTATGGTGTTAGGTGTACCGTACCTACGGTCCGTTCCTGCAGAGCCTTTTGGATTTGAATGTTGGTTTGAAGAGGGAAAGGAGCTTCTTACTTCTATGTCGTAGTGGTCCTTCATGAAGCTCTGTGGAGCCAGAATCTCCACAGAATGACTAGGTTTTCCGTGTGGGCATCTATCAGCGGCCCAGTACCCAAAGAAGCAAAGGATGCTTTCGCAGCTGAGGGAAGGCTGGTTTCAGGGCCCTTGCTCAATGCTTGGCTAATTTACAAGAATTCCAAAACCTGAAATGGGGTAAGTTTGAGATTATGTTCTATCCGAACCGCCCAAGCACTTCAAACAGGTTAAGAGCCGTGTCATCTGGGCCCAAGTCTTGGGTACCTGGCATTTCCCGTCATTCTAGGCTGCATGCTCCCTCCATGCAATTATCATGCCGCCTGCCTCCCACCTTCTCGTCTCCTCCTTGCCACACCGACCTCCGCTCCCGCCTCCCACCTCCCACAGGAGGTCGAAAGCGGGAAATTGAGGATCGCCGTAAATTGCTGAGACTCAAAAGATCGATGCGGATTGAATCGATTCGGTCATGGCCCTTCAGGAGTGAAGTGAGCCCTAAACCAGGATAGCCGAAGCCGGTTTCCCTCATCTCCTCCCCTCATAACCCACAAAGCCCCCTTAAATACAGTGTCATACACAAAAACATATATATATATATACATATATGTATACATATGTATATGTCATTCTGAGGAAAAGCAAGGACATCACCAGCATGTAAAATGAAGCAAGACTTGCCTGTAAGGCAAAACCTGAACCCAGAGGCAAGAATTGTGGTTTCTATAATCGGGGGGACCTCATGTAAACCCTCAAATACTGCATACTCTGGGGATCCCCAAAATGGTACCCTGAATTTTGGGAAACTAACGAATCCATCCACAACCAGGTCGCCTGTGACAAAGTCCGCCAGAACTCCCTGGTTCGCGCCTTCCAGACTGTAGTCCAGGATTCAGGGGATCCAGAGAATAGTCTCAAGAGAAGCTGGGTTAAGGTTGAAGATTAAGGGTACTTCAAGGAGGTGACCTGGTGTGATATTCAAGGCTGCACCCAAGCTCCCGCTTGGAGCTTATGGACCTTGATGAGCTCTATCATGCAAGTCCAGTAAAACATTATAATAGCACAGTTACCTGTCGTGACATAGCAAGCCATTTGTACAATCACCCCTCTTCCAAACGAGAACCATCCCCAATAGATGTTTCTAGAGGTATTTTCCAGAACAACAGTTCCATTTGAATGTATATGCCTCAAACTAGCCCCTTGGCGGCTCGTCGGCTTCGCAGGATCCCCGCGTTAAACAGATTGCAAAACCAACCCTTGACAGCCAGCTCTCTTGTACGTCACTGAAATCTGATTCTCGGACAATGTGCTGCTGTGAAGGCTTGGCATATGTTAGGATTGAGGAACGTGCTGTGACCATGTCTTCAGACAGAACAACACGCATGGGATAGTTTCCCTCTCGCCAAGGCCTACCCAGTGCTGAGAACTTCTATGTATGCACAACCAGAAATTCCAACCAACTCCATGAGCCTGCGAAGGCATGGTAAGGGCAGATGGTACATGATGTAATCAGCCAAGTCCGGATCCCCTGGTTTCAAGAGAAAACAAGGCTGGGGAATTCCCGAAAATTGGAAGCTTTGTGGAGCCAAGGCAGACATGGGTAGTGCAAAGCGACCAGGTGGTCCCTATTAGAGATTCTGTCTTTGGAGAAACTCCCAATTGAGTAGCCTTTGGCATCAACTGATCTGATCTATGGCACCTCGCTGGTTGCTGGTGCATACAGCTCCTTGATGTCCAGCCCTGCTGTGAAGACGTTCCTGATGTGGGAATTGATGCAAAGCAGGTACCCCCACGGGCCCCTGGGGCATTATGATGAGATTTTGGGCATCTCACTCTGGGATGAAGCCTTAACTATAGACATACGCATTCAGGATGCAATGCGGAAAAGATCCTCCACGAGCCCTGGCTACGTGTCAACCCCTACGAACACCCATATCCACAGGACCTTCTCTGGCGTTTGACTTCCACAGATTGTTCAAGAGCTGCAGGGACAGAGGTTTGCCCCAAGGGTACGCGTACCTAAATATGATGGCTCCAGACAGCAAGCGCGAAAATCTTGATGCATGTTTTGGTCCGGCACTATCACGTGGTTTGCTATGCTGCATGACTCAGCGGTGTACTTATGTTCTGGTGCTCAGCGGGGATCGGGGAAGTGAACATAGGCAGCATTAATATTCGCGTGAGAAAACAAGTAAGAAGTCATATACCCACTGGGCAAAATCAGGCAGAAAAATCGCACGGCATCCCGTTTCGGGCCTTCATTCACAGGAGTGTGTCAACATACTTCCCATTTACATGTATCATCCTTTAGAAAGGAGACCCAAAGATCTCCTTACGCTCCTCATACATCCTCAGGTCCGACAAGTAACCTGTTCTGCAAAAACACTAAGATAAGAGGGTTTTGGTAACTAGGACACTACAATAATCATATCCTGGACGGACATTCTCCAGGACCACAGCAAATTTCGAAGAAGTGCCCCTAGTGCGGGCCTTGAGTCCTGCGGTCCCTTCATATCGACTACCCCTTACTACTAAAAATCAATATAGTACCACTATAGATTCTTATAGAAACTGGGCAGTAGATCGATTTTTTGGGGGAAGCAACCCCTGAACCTTAAACCGCGAAGTCATTGCCAGGACAACCTCCGTGACCGACTTAGCTGCCCGAAGTCTTTTTCAGTGTGGATTGGAAGATGACGCCCCGGATCTCCGGATCATCTTCCGCAGCCTTCCAGGGAGACCACTACATATATGGTAATTTCCCTAAAAAGGAAGGGGGGCCAATATAGACACCAAAATACTATGATCCTTATTATAGGTACCACCACCCCGAAAAAAAATGTTACCCCCAATTTTGGGAAACGCTCATATTGACTAAATAGTACAGACCAAATATGATAGTAAGACCAGTTTCAAGATGAAACGTATTTTCCAGACTGGTATGTAGGATTTAGGATTTGAAGGTTCGGTTCGGGCTTACATCGTGTCAGGCTCGTGTACCTTGTAGCCAAACGAGGAAACTCACTCTCCCAACAATCCCTAACTAACGCTGATCCATGTATCCGGAATCTTGGACAGTTATAGGTGGGCAGTTGCCTCGCAGCTATGCTATGTCAACCGCGCCAAAAACAGTCATCTGCGCGCTTTGTATTCCCAGAACAAACTCCCCCCCTTGCCCCCCCCCTCCCCTGAAGAGACAGTGGATGGAATGGAAGGTCTTGGACGAGAATCACTAAGCTCTCGCAAGATCAAAGTGGCAACTTGTCCGGTAGTTAGTAGAGATGTGAAGACTGGATTCCCATAGTAGTCCCTGTAAAATTCTCTGACAGTCCCTCTAACGCATTTTCTTTTTTTCTAAGCCTGGTAACCACCAGCAAGCAAAGGCCCTGGGGCGCGCATGATGGTTGGTTTCCACGATGACCTCTCCTTGTTTTGTACATAGTTAGTAACATTGTCCTTGTACTCGACGAATAGTTTTCTGATCCACAATGTTCTTCTTCGCGTTGCTTGGCCTTCTGATGATGAGTTCGACAGCAGTCTGCTCATTCTGCTTGTTTACAGCTCTGCAATATCAATCGTTACGTACTGGTTCGCAAGCAACAAACCGAGTTGATCCCTGTAGTAGTTCCTTTCCAACCCTGGACAAGCGTCTATTTAATGTGTAACCCATTGCTTGCTTCCCTACTAGACCACCCTAAACCCTAAAGGCATCCTAAAGGCTAAAAACAACTAGCAGCTTCCATTGTCTTTCGCATTCCTCCTTTCCCTGAAGAGCCCAAACAAGGTAGAGGCTTTCCAGCTTGCTCAAGCAAGATCATACCCGTTTTGTCCTGGAAACGCACCCCTCCCCTCTGATAGCAAAACTCCCCGCCCTCTAATGATAGATATTTTCGCCCTCTAACGCAGTTATGCCGTATTTGGCATATTGACTAATCCGAGGGTCAGAGGCGCTGGTTGTTTCAGGGGAGGTAATCTGAAGTCTTCCTTAACCCCTAAAGCATGAGCAACAGGCTAGAGGGTCAATGTCTAGACCTCAAGATTCCCGTAGCTCAATGCCAGGGATCCATAAAGCTATACCCTCCCTTGAACAAACCTGGAGCCTTGTTGGTGCGACGTCGCAGCTATAGACTGAAATCAGATGAGCCCTCAGGAGACTCCACTTCCACCATTTCTGGAGGCCAGCTGTCTTTGCAGCTCCATTATAAGGGCTCAATGTTTGTTTAATCGGACGGGGCGTGGTATCTTTCATCTCTCACTTAGCCACATGATGCTCAGGAAATTCGCTGTGGGTGCGCAGAGAGTTCAATACAATATTGATTCAGATTTGCTTCCCTGAAATTGCCTGAAAAGTCGCGGCCATCTCCTTCCAAAAGTCCATGCCCATACCTCACGTGGACAAGGCTTTGATGTGAACACCTCTCTGTCTCTCTGATGCAGTTGTTCAATGCCGGGATAAACAAAACCATTAGTCATGAGGGTAAGCCACCGGATTCAACACGCTATCCCTAGCTATATGCCCAAGAAACTCTGCCGCAGCATTTATCTCTTGTGCCTGAACGTACTTTTCAATACGCCATTGCCCAGGTCATGCAGCACAGGCACGCACAAGCATGCATGCTGAATCCTGTACCCATATCCCTCTGCGACCTTGGGCTTGTACCAAATTTGTGCTTTCTAGCGTCTTCTCGTCCGCATGAATCTAAACCCTCAGCATCCCTCGGACAGCACAGTGGGCAGGGGTATGTGGAAGTCCCGATACACACAGACATATAGAGAGAGAGAGAGAGAGAGAGATAATATATACATATATATATATATATATATGCTACCCCCCAGAACCCACCCTGAAAGGACAACACATTTGATTCAGATAAAGCTGGGCAAACAGGATATCAATACACCATCATGTGCGGCAGGCAATATAGGCAGACGCAGCATAGTAGTAGCAGCAGCAGCGGGAGTAGCAGCAGTAGTAGTAGTAGTAGTAGTACTAGTAGTGTAGCCTCTCAGGCCTGCTCCTCCTCCTCCTCCTCTTACTAGGTCTCTTTGTATAACTAAGGAGCAGCCAAGAAAGGAGCCTTTGCTCATAATTGGATCACAAGGCAGGAATTTTGGAGGCAGTGTCAAAATATCCTGCATTCTAAATTCTCGAAGACGCATTAGGAAATTTAGCCTTCACACCAACCGCACATGATAGTAAATGTATTCATTAGAATTTTACGCCAATAACGAAATACGAAAAACTGGGGCCTGCAGTGCGACCCTTTCTGTGTTTTTAAAGGTGTCTTAGGTTTGGGTTCAAACAAATAGGATGCCTGGGAAAGTTGTTTCTTGAGCTAACCTAGAGGAAAATTCAGATGATGAAGATGGTTTTCCTGTGGCATCCCTTCGCAAAAAACATCGCTTACCTGGAAAAAAAATTGTGATTTTCCAAGAGAACCACTTCAAAAAACACAATCATCTTCCTAGGAGACCCACGTTTTCCAAGGTGTTTTAGCTTTGTGTGTTCAAGCAAAATACTTTGAAAGGTATTTATATGAGCTAATATATTCAGTGTAGGGAATTTGAAATAAAGTGCGACGTTTTCCGTATATTAATTACGCTAAACTCCATTTCAACTCTCCAGATGTGGACCTTGTAACTCTTCTGAGAATTCCCACTCTTCAGTGTCAGGAATTAAAATACAATAACTTCCATCTAAATTCTCCAAAGGGGAACATCGAACATATTTACATTGTCCAGATGGAGACAGGCAGCAGATGGTTTGGGGGTACCATATATATATATATGTATATATATATACATATACATGTACATCAAGTAGTTACCATCCTCCCCCCCAAAAAAATACACTGCTTTGGCTCGGAGAGGCATGGTTCAGTTGGGTCTTCCTGAATATGCGCACATCTCACAGGATCCTGATTTTAATGGCGCAAATGATACCCATGATCTCTGTCAACATCCCCCATTCAAACCTTCAACCCAAACCCCCAAGCTCAAAAAACAAAGCGGAAACCCTAAACTCAAGCTCATCCCAATCCGAGTGCATCAAGCGGCTGTTGACTGGCTCTTTGCCCAATGAAATCACGGCAATGCCTTTACCCTGCTTTTCCTTGAGAGAGTTTTGGAGTTGAGGGTTGTTGTAGCGCCCAAAGCTTAGGGTGTGCAGGGTCTCGGTTTTGACGGTTTAATACATGCCGGGCTTCTCCCTTGCTGAGGCTTTGGGGTTTCGGGTTCAAAGCATGGAGGGGCTGGTGTGCTTGAAGCTGAGGGTATCGGAGGAGCTTGGGGTGAGCCTGACAGGGTTTTGAGAGTTCTTGGTAAACTTCAACGTCAGAGCATGACGAATATTGTGTTATCGTGTTGGATCTTTGATTCTGGGTTCGGGGTTAAGCAAGACTGCTTGCCAGTGGGAATTTCTCTCCTACGCAGCCCGAAAAGGACCTCTATAGTTACCTTACAACCTTACAAACTGTTGTGCGAGAACTACCCACAGAGTAACAGGGCCCCAGGCACCAGAAAGTTCATCGGCGTTTTATAGCAGAACAAACTTCGGTCCTCCCTATGAACCTCATCCCTCCCCATGGGTGCTAATGACAAAAACTCTCTGGGCTCGAAACATATGTTCCAGAACTACTTAGGGGTCCTTTATCTGAAAGAGCCAGTTGAACTCAAATAAGAACGCAGAAGTCATTCGGAAAAAAGTGGCAAGGCGCTCCAAAACCTAGACTCCTACAATCCGGGGCACCGCGACCAAACACCTTGCAATGACAAATCCTTTCCTGTAGATGCAAACTCCTTGTCACAAAAATGAATAAGAGGATCGTGGCAACCCCCA